CAACAGAATTATTTGCTAAATTGAAGTTGTACCCGTGCTTTACCCACTGAAATAAAAGGGTAGTACATGTGCCACTGACAGCTAAATTTGCAGATCAAGGGACTATATGGGTGTAACTCAGGCTATGGCTACACTACAATGAACTATTGGAAAAAGGTACGCAAATTGCACTCCGCAATTTGCTTCCCTTTTTCTGATAGTTTTTTTCGGAAGAGGCTTTTCCAAAATTTGGCCTGTCTACCCTGGGCCAAATTTCGGAAAAGCCTCCACTTTTTGGAAGAAACCTTCTCCGTCATGGGAAGAGGAAGCCAGGGCTTCCGAAAGAGCGTGTCTGCTCTTCCGGAAGAGCAGATGCGTTCCCTGGACATGGTGGAGTTTTTCCAGGATACCCTGGAAAAACCTCATAGTGTAGACATAGTCTCAAGGTGCTGTGTGAGAAGGGGAGAACCAGCTACAGGCAGTCCCCGGGTTACGTACAAGATAGGGACTGTAGGTTTGTTCTTAAGTTGAATCTTGCAAACTGAGCAACTGTGATAGTGTAAGCTCTGTGACACAATAAAGATGGAACCCCCACAAGGGCATTTTTATAGTGGTGGTGTGTGAGAGGGGGATGGGCAGGACTGGGGAGGGTGCACAAGAGGCTTCGGTTTAAAAAGAGAATGCCATTTCTGTGGCTTCTGGTTTATTTCATAACAAATACTTTGGCTGCATCCCTGCCATGCAGCTTTCCATAAATGATCTCTCACACATATACACCAACAAACAGGAAAGTATTTATAGGTTCTTAAGGCTCTCTCTCCTGGCATGTGGTCAGTTCTATTGCTCTTTGCCTCTCTCCCAGGAATAACCCAGCTCCTCACAGGACTTCTTTTCACTGCAGCATTGACTCATTTTATAGTTGAAGTCCTGTTCATATGCAAAAATTCCGAAGCGCGGTGGTGCCTTTAATTCAACTTGGCTTGCCTGTCAAGGTTTGTCTACACTGCAAGGGACTGTGCCTCCTAATCCAGATACAATCATGCAAGCTGGGCTTGGGCTAGAATGCTAAAAATAGCTGGTGGACATTGCAGCTCAGGTAGCAGGTTGGGCTCTGAGATCTGACCTCAGGAATGAGCTTGAATCTCTACCAAAGGAACAGCACTCACATGGCTGTTTTTAGGATATTAGCTTGAGTGCAAATAGCAGAAATTTGTCAATGCATACTGAGAAGTTTTCTCCCAGCTGTTTGGTAGACATTCCACATGGAGGTGTAGGCTATAGCTTGAGTTAGCACAACTAATCAGTCATCAGCTCCTAAAATAACCAATCTATGCTGTAAATAATAGAACCGGAAGGAATGTTGAGAGGTCTTCAAGTCCAGTCCCCTGCACTTATGGCAGAACCAAGCCCCATCTAGACCAGGGGTTGGGGATCTTTATTGAGTTGGGGCAAAAAACAAATAAAACCCCACCCTTCACTGAAGTGGCCCCACATTCTCCTTGGACACCAGAGCCTTAGTGGTCCAGGCTAGTAGATTTTGATGCTCCAGCCCCATTTCTTATGTGTGCAGTTGTTTGTTCCTTCCTAAGTGGCATACTTTGCATTTGTCCCTATTGAATTTCATCCTATTTACATCAACCATTCCTCTGGTTTGTCCATATAATTTTGAATTATAATCCAAAGCACTTCAAACTCCACCCAGCTTGGTATCATCTGCAAACGTTATACATGTTCTCTTTATGCCATTATCTAAATCATTGATGATGATATTCAACAGAACCTGATCCAGAACTGATCCCTGTGGAATCCCATTCGTTATGCCCTTCCAGCATGACTGTGAACCATAACTACTCTCTGAGAACCATTATCTAACCAGTTATGCACTCACATCTACCGCTTACCCCTTGTCCACAAAAAAGCTATCAGGTTGGTTTGACAGGATTTTTGCTTGACAAATTCATGCTCATTGTTACTTATCACCTTATTATCTTCTAGATGTTTGCAAATCATCCTGTAACGCAAATCACTTTGCAATGCAATCACTCTGTAGCTAATGCTAATATAATCAGTCTTACGTTTTTTGTCTTTACTGACAAAAAAGGTGTGTGTCTATCATGGGGTAACTAATATGTATTAATTATCCCATGGTAACCTTACACCCCATCGCACGACTGGTTTCAGTGGAAACATCACCTGAGTGTTAACGTGCATCATGACTCCTTTCACTCAAGCTCGGCTAATTTGAGAGAAGATACCTCCAGGTTTGATAATTTAAGTTAACTCTGCATTGAAGACATAGCCTTGAATATCACAAACCTAATTAGAACCAATTGCTCCTAGGTAGCACCAAGATACGAGTGCTTTCCTGAGCAGACTCTTGCTAGCAGTTATCTCCAAAACCCCACAAGCTGTGGCCTGGCACAATATGGTCTCTTCTTAAGGATCATCATGGGATTGAGGAGTATGCAGGGGGGCTGTACAATGTCTTCCAGTGATCAGCAAAAATCCCTCCACCATACAATCACTGTTGAGATCAGAAAAATTCTGTATATGGTGCTGCTCATGAATACTGATTACAAGACTGCTTCCTGCAGCTCCTAAGTTTTCTGCAATTCCACATGCAACATTGCTCACTGGTGAGAAAAAGTAACTAGTATTTCACCCTTAAGATCTCCTAACCAGGGTGAGCATGCGTGTGTGGGGAAAACAGGAATCTATTCTCTGCATGGTTCAGAAGTCAGAGGGGCTTGTGGGAGGCAGAGGATCCCAGGGAGTTAGACGAAGCGGAGTTATTGGAAAATCTTGCTGGGGAAGAGAACATGGAAGAGCTGTTGGGAGGGTTAATTTGGGGTGAGAAAAGCTGGAGCAGCCTGAGAAGAGGTTGTTGATGGATGAGATGAGAAGAGCCCGAGGCAGCTTGGGAGCGAATTGTTGGGGCCATATGTAGGCAATGGAGGATTGCTGGAGATGTACAGAACCTGATCAGCCACCATCACCCTGCTCCAGCCTCACCCCATTAGCCTCCTCAGTTCTATCCCCTTCCACTAGTAGGCCTGAACTGATACATCAACCCCTATTCTGGCCCATGTCCCTTCCCTCTCAGGCACTGTGTCTGCCTCCCAAGAGGCTCTATACTGGCACACCAGTGGGGGGAATCAAAAACAAGAGGAGGCTGAAAGCAGCACCACAATCTTTTCACTGTTCCTCTCTCTCATCCCCAGTGCCTGGGAGGAAGAACTGAAGG